ACTCAGCATGGTTAAACTTATACCTTAACATAATTGATATTGCAATATCAAAATCATACACGTAAGTATATAACAAAATAGTAAAATTTATCTCAAACAGTATAACAAGTCTTGTAAACATATTAATATAAACATAAACAGATCTTTAGTTTGTAAGTTGTAAGTACATCAACAAACAAAACATTGCTAAAAATATAATAATCTTATTTGTAAGTATAAGCATAATATCATTATATATTTAAGTAGAAATAAACTATATCGACAACTTTCTAAAATATAAATCTCGTGATTTTTGTAACAATTTAGTTACAATCTGAATTTGGAATTATTTGTACATATACAATTGTAATCAGTATTATTTGCATATTTACATTTACAGCATTTACATATTATTTGCATTATTGTTAACATGTTAATTATTAAATATAAGTTTTGCATTAGTCTCAATTATTATGATATATCGTTATGAGAATGAGGTATAAAATGATAATGTCATGTTAAAAAATAGGTCATGTCAGTTTTGCTTTATATTTATGTATGGTATGTCAATATAAAAGAGGTGAGAAAATCATAAAATAGAGTAATAAAAAAGCATTTTACCCTTTGAAAAAATGTTGCCTCATCACATTACCCTACAATAAGATATTTAAATACTAAATCATTTAAGGGAATCGCGTGTTCTTATTTGAAACAGTATACGCTGCACCATTGGTGTAAAACTTCTGAATAAATGTCACAATGAAATTTAAACACCAGATCTGGGTTCTGGATGTTACACCTGACCAACTGATGTTTACGTCGTTGAATCAGGAAAATCTAGCGGATGTCATGTTTAGTAGACAAAACACTATCAGTCAACGCACAAACATAATTATTTTTATTAAATATGTAATGAATGTTCACACTTTGTCTTTGTCATAATTGTCATCTATTCACGACATAATAACTTACTATTTATAAACTCATAACTTTAAAATGTTATAACTTATTTCATTATCTTATAATAGGACAGTAAACTATAAACAATACAAAAAACTTATATTATTATACGCACGATGATTTTTATTTCGGTTGTATTAATCCTGATTACTACTGGGTTTTTTAGACTCGGAAAGCTAGAAAATGTGGTACGCACAATTGATCCTTGCTCTAAAAGTTTGATAAAGAATAAGAGGGTGTGGAATAACATTGAGTTTTACGTCCATTTAAGTCAATTGAGACCATTACTATGCTTCTAATGAAAACGGAAAACCATGTAGACTACACCCCTCCCGCCTCACCCCTTGTCCTACTTTGACCCCCGTAGCAACGGGACTAAAACCATGCAAACATAAGTCTACTTCATAAATATCAAGGTAAAGACGGAAAAAATATATACAATTTTTAGAAGTTCCCTCTAAACATGGTAGTTTTTCCGTATTGCGTTATTCCGGATTAGGCCCCAAATATACCGATCACAGGGCAGATGCGCATTACGTCATTAATAACTGTGAAATTTAAAAGCAGGCTTCAATTTAAAATCTCTGAACTGTATCATAAGTAACTGTGTCACTGAAATGTGGGTTACGAATTTTAAACTGATTTTACAACAAAAACCAAATTCCAGAGGTCTCAGTTTAATGTACTGTTATCTTCCGATCACGTGACAAATGGCAATTTTTTCTTTTTCGATTGATGGTTTTCATTGACATAGATAAGCTCTATCAAACATTTCTTGTCAACCAAAGTATGAAAAAATGGCGACTTAACTATTTATCTTTGATATTCTATATAAGCTTATATATTTGATATAGATCACATTCTTGAGATTTTCATTGACGTTCCGTTAAACGAAACCATACACATGGCAAAAGCACACGTTATAATGACGTCTCGGATCAAATGAAAAATTATGTTAATAGCACAGACCTAAAAGTTATTATTATGATTCTAAAAATCGGTTACTTTGAATTGAATTTAAATATTGACCACAAGAAATTGTCAAATTGCTTAAAATTCACCAAAAGAAACGTCAAAATAGCTGATTAGATAATGCAGAATTACTGAATTCCCGCCTATTAATGATACGTGTTCGTGACGTCATCGTGCAGCAACATCCAAAAATTCTCTTAATGTATATGGGTACATTTTGATTTGCATTACCATAAGTTTCGGACTATGTTATATCAGAAATCTGTGTCAAATCTCTAACAATGGTTCCTGCAATTAATTAATGACAATATATATGCATTAATAACCCTATTCTATCACTGTCAGTATTCATTAGATTGAGTTCATAGTAAAAAATAAATACATCAATTTGCTATTAAGGGTTAATATAACAAGAATCAATATTGTATTGATATTAAACCTTCAGACTTGTAGTCATGAATATCACATATTGTCCAATCTCGTTTTAAAATCTTAAAGGAGGTGGTCCACTAAAAGCCAATAATCTAAAAATTATGCTTATTCACGAATTTCACAGAGCCGACAAAATCGCAATAAACCAGTTTTATCCTTATCAAGGCAGATCCATATTTTTTTCGTTTCTTTGTAGTTAGACTTACTAATGTACTCAAAAAACGAACGAAACGAACCTTTTGTCGATGAGTCTCCTGGTGGTGAATTTCAATTAACATGTTGTATATGTCAATATTTTCAAGTGATCATCACCCTTTAAAATTTTCAATCCTTATCAAAAATGTTATTCAATGGTTATGTTCATATACAGCCTAATACAAAATGCTTTCACAACAGTTCAATAAAGTACATTTCTTTTATAAAACAAGACGCCTTTCATAACCTTTGGTGACAAAATAACCTTTACATAGACATATGAGTTCAATGGTCTAATTAGCATAGCATTATACTATGTTGTATATTATGTTATGTCAAAGACATGAAAAGTACATTTTTATTATATGACACTTCAAGCATAGACTGTTCACATTAATACACAGTATATTTTAATTTGATTTCTAAATCATTGAAAATGTCGTCCTGCTTTTGTCGTTAATGTCAGCAATTGTCATGACAAAATTGTCTGTCATCAAAATTGTTATTCAGAAAAGCCTTTGAAAGCTCTAAAATTACAGTAAAATTCCCCTTAATGCAAACTGCATGGCGTTACCAGTCCCTATTAGCTCGTTCGGTTGAAAAAAAATAAGACGTAAAACTCAATTTCATTTCAGTTGGAAAATGGCTTACTGTTTTCGGGGCATGTAGGGCCTATGGATTAACAAATTTCACCTAAGTATTGATAAAGGTGCGTTTGAAAATAAGAGTCAGTATATCAAAGTCTACCATGTTAGTATTCTAGAAGGTGAATAGTATGTTTAGAATGAAATCCCTGGCTTGATATTTAAATAAGAAAACAGAGCGTGATAGGTTAGAAGTTTACAGTCTCGAGGAAAATAGATAAATTAAGTGCGGTCCTGTTATTTTAAAATTACGTCATTCATATACATGTGAAAACATACATTTTAAAAAATTAGTAAACGTAGGAAACCAAATTTACGAAAAAGTAACACGAAAATGAAAGGTAATTGGAGAGCTAAAGTTTGGAGGAAATGCATTTATTAAGAGCGGTCGTGTGTAAGTTTTTTTTTTGAAAATTACGTCATTCATACGTATGTCACAACGAACACTTTTAAATCAAAAAGATATGCGGTTTTAAAAACAACAAGTTGTCGTTCTAGGAAGAGACTGTAAAATATAAAGGAAGAAAGGAGATATTATTATGAATAAAAAGGTTATGGGAAAAGTCTAAAATAAACATTTCAAATACGTGATCAGATGAAAAAAAATGTTTAAAAGACATTTCAATACATCAGATTTCAGTGTGTACTTAATAATATGATGGTCAATAAGTATCATGCTTTCCTCATTGTCAGTTCTCGATTTTTGAAAAAGATGAAATTGTACACTGCAATGCAAAATTTGTATGCCAGACTACAGGTACATTACCTCTTAAGATGACAAAAAATTGAACTTGGCTAAAACGAGTCATTGTTCATTAGTGGACTTTTCTAGTGTTATAACTATACAACATAATATCTATAATCCAACAAATCTATAAAACTAAAGTAATTATCCATTAAACTAAGTAATTTTGAAACATGCATAGAAGCGTGTTTACATATTTATTTAGTTTGATGGATATATCGTCTAACATAAAGATTCTATTCTTTAGTCATAGCACCTGGTAAGTCCACCTGATAACTATATCAAGTGTTGACCAAGTTTAAATTTATGTTCATTCAAAGAAGAAGTATTTAATTCTTTAAGTTTGTCACAGTGATTTTCCGTTAGGAAATGTATCCAAATTTTCAATATCTAACCCTTGCTGTCGCTCAAACAACAATTTTTGTCATGCATTTATTTGGCAACTCCTATCTAACAATATCTTGCAAAAAAAAAAGTTATTTTCTTTGGGTGAAAAATGATACATGTAAATTAATCTTATCTTATATAACACATAACAAAAGGATAATTATAAGAAACCTGCTTATAACTTCTATCTCTTAGCCTCAAGCCGCATTTAAACTGTACAATTTATTGCCGCTAGCTTATCATATTTATCTTATTGTAATGCAATGGCGACCTTGATAGCAAGGTCAAATAGGGCACAATGACCTGGGTAATTTTCATATGAAATGTATAAAAGAAAGAGGTAGATTTTATCCAATGTAAGCCATAAAGGAATGTATACAAAGGGAATATAAATACAGTATATGAATTTTATATATAATGTAAGCATTGTATAGGTTAAAGGTTAAACATGGCAAATAGGTTTTGAAAGTGTGCAGGTTTATCTCACTTAATATCATGTATTAAAATAGAAAAACTTACATTAACTAATCAAGTAAAAAAAAAAACAATATGTTTGGCAAAGTTCCGCAGCATGAAAGTGCACATGCCATCGCATGCTTTTGTGACAATTCAACGAGCGTCAGATCATGTTCAACCCGAGAATGATGTACAGACGTATTTTGACAAAGGTCAATATCAAGAGTTATGCATAATTAGGTTCTAATAATATAAGTAACAATATTTATCATATACATGACGTAGTGTTATGTTATGACTTTGTGTTCACGTTTCGTTAGACCAATATCATAATTTTAATCAATCATTTGCACCATCTTTTTACAATGTTGCATAATGTTATATATATTATATATCACAATAGGTACAGGCTTTGTTATAAACGCGTTGGTATTTACCAAAAACTAAGTATCAATATAGACATGTTAGTACACTCTTAAAGAGAAGATCATAGCCTTTATTGGCAAAGTTTCAAATTTCGTATTACAATATGGTGATGATACTGTGAAGGGATTGTGAAACCTTTATCTTATACAAATTGATGGAATGGGAATGGCTTTATTCCATATGTTTATATTTTGTCAGGTTTTTATATTTAAATGTATTATTTTGCAATATTTGAATAGGGATAAACAAAATAAATATCTTTACAATCCCTTACACATATCAACAATTGTTGCTGGTATATGCTATAGAAGTCTAATATTGAATTCATATACCACCACAAGTATAGCAATAGACAGTCAATAGGACCCCTACCTAGATTGTCAAAATAAAAGTGACCACACCTGTCATAACCTATTAGAGCTTAAAGTAGAGCTTACAGTAGAACTTAAATTAATCGCTAAATCTCTTACACAAATATTCAAGGTATGGTTGAACACTACTCTTTACCTGATCTTATTACAATACTGGGCTAACATTCCCTACATACTCCGATACCAAAACACAGTAGCTCTTCAAAGCATCGTCTGTTCCATTAGGCCAGGGATACACTTGAAGCGACCAGTTCTAGTTGAAATAGGCCAAAGATCAGCTGTTTTGTCGCATCTTATTGACACTATTGAAGTGTTTTTGATCCCAAACTCTAGTCACAACTTTAATCCAAATACAAAAACAATTAGTAAATGTTATACGTATATTGATAATCCAAATTAAAAAAAAAACAAAAGGCGAAGATGAATGCGTAGACAAATTTTCGCCGGCTCCATAGCTTTATCACTCACTAAGGTTTATATTGCGTTTAGTACATTGCGAATGGTTCCGGTTCACCATTGCGTCCTCTACTTGCCATAAGTTCATTCAAAGCGTAAGATTGATTGTCAGCGGCCCCTGTCTGTTTATTTTGTTCCATCAAACTTCTAGAAAAGGCTCTCTCGTGTTTAAATTGGTTTTCGAATCTTCTGAAATCTCTAGGTCTGTTAGAACTAGTACCCTGTTCTGACATGTAGCCAAAGCTATCCGTAGAGATGTCACTAGGTGCACCATTTGTTCGCCTCTTGTTCTTTTTGTCCTTCTTGTTCTTCTTCTTGTTTTTCTTCTCCAGTGTCCTGGCTCTCTCTACCGGAGGAGGGACTGATCTAGCTCTCTCTACGTACACTAACCTACCAGGAGGTGGTGGGTAGAAGTCGTAAGGTGCTCCTGGTGGGTACACATCACCATTGCGTAGAGCTGAAGGGTAGAAATTTGTATGTCTCATCTCATATTGCTCTCTTCGACTCACCCTGGCTTTGGATCGTCCTTTATCGTAATCAGTTGGTGGAGTTCTTGGTCGAGAACTAACTTCGCTTGATGCATCGCCATCGCCATTCATAGTTCTTCTCGGGTAGGCCGTTTCGTGTGGAGAGGAAGACCTGGAGGAAGCATGTTCGTGAGAATGAGATGCTGACGATTCAGATCCACGACGACGCGGTCTACCTCTTATTAAATGTGGTGGACCGTCTATGACAACAGGATGGGGTGGTGGGTGTCCCACCACTACGTATGGTTCATTTGGAAACCTTTTCTGTCTGAGGAGGGTAGGTGGTGGTGAAAAGAATCGAGGTCTGGCATGAGTTTGAACAGGAACGGTTCTTACTGGTACCATGTTAGGTGCTGGTCTAGGTAAGGTGTGAAGGACAGGGGGTGGGGGTCCCGTTCTGGTTGTCTGAAAGCTATATGCTGATCTTCTTTCTACACTTGGTCGGACAGAAAGTGGAATTGGTGATGTCGCACGGATTCGTTCACTTTCACCATCTGAAACTACTTTTTCCATAGTGTATTTCTTGACAGGAATGTTTGATTTTGATGTGTAAAAGTAACCTTGTTGAGGTGGGGTATCATAGAATTCTGGGGCAGCGTTTCTCACTTCTCCAGACTTTAACCTCATGTTGTAGTGCTCGCTATGACCATTCATGCCAGATTTTAACGTATCATTAGCATGTGTCAATGTAAAGGAACCATTCATGACCCTACCTTTACTCATTTTATCAGCAGTGGATGTAGCTTGAACAAGATCTAAAGCGTCTCTGTCCGATTCACATACAAATCCATGACATTCTAGCACTTTCTTTCCAACGGTTCTGCGAGTGATCGCAGTAAATATAGCTGGTCGTTTCGCATTGGCACCACCTGCCGTAACAGAACTGAGAGAAACAAATTTAGCAACTCTTTCTTTTGTGGCATTATTGATAACGGATATACACCGTACGGCAGCACATAATGTCACTGATGAAATTGGGAACAGAATCACATCCTTGGAGGCATCACAATATTCCATTTGTAATCCGCTTTGTGACACTGTAAGGTAAGCAAGTATTCCTTCAATTTGTTTCGATTCGTCAATTGGGTACCGATCACGTAACGGCTGCTGTACGGCGTCCAATCCTTCAGATGTTTCCATCGGCACAGATGTTCCAATGAACAGTACTCTTCTTCGAATTAACTCGTCTCGAACCACCATTTTGAAAACTTTTCCCAGTGGGACTACAAACTAAAAACTTCGTAAAACTTGTAAATTCCAACCTCACTAAGTGTCGCAGGGCTATAATGCAGCCCACGACTTCAACTGGATTTCAACGGTTTTAATATGTTTGTGTACTGACCTCCTTTGCCATTTGTGTTGAGGGAGTAGCTTATTTTCTCGCTGTACCTGTGACGTCGTCAAATTACTGCGGGCTCGTGTCTCCACAAAATGACTCACTGGCAAAATGTAGTAGTAACAATATGTTTTAAACTCAGGTAAAATTTTTTATCTTAACCACGTTTACAAGTTGGCGGCCACCGTCAAATACCCTTTAAATATCCGCAGGGTTAAATGTCCATCTAGACTGTCACTATCTATGTTCGATAAAAACTGGACATAAAGTTTCACGCACTAACTGTCAATTGATATGTGGTAGCAAATTCTTTCCTTCATCACGCATGACTAACAATATGTGCGTTAAAACCGGTTTAACGGGCTATATACAGTAAGGTATTATTAAATGGAGAAATCCGACCTCTGAGCTATTCAAACCTACAAACATAAACTAGCTCCGAGTGTCACATACACAGTAAAATACAATACAATTGGCGTGTCGACAACAGGCATTATTTCACAGGTGTTATAACTGATTGCAACATTCAAGGGTCATTACAACTTAGATTGGTCTCAACAAGGATTTAAATCGCATTTACCATTGAACACAGATATGTCATTAGTTACGATAATAAGATTATCTTAAATCACTTGAAAATCAACATGTACATGTACTTTATTGTAGATTTAGCGAGGACGACGACATCTTCCCTTTTGAAAGGCCTACTTACTTTTGACTGTGATTTAAAAAAATAAAAAAGTAGATTTCTGTGCGTTATTTCAGCTGTCCGTGTAAGATGTATTCTGCGGCTTACCACATATAGAAAATTTTCCTTTTTTTTTGGGATCTTTAATTTGCGTATGGAAGACGACTGGGATATACAGATAGTAGGAGTCCAAAGATTCATATCAAATATTTCAATGAAAAATTGGAATAGTTGTATTCAGGAATATTAGTAAATTGTTATGGCACCAAAATAATACATAAGGGTTTATGAGACTAATATTCAAGTATGAGGTTATCCCTGACGAACATAAGTGATTCATTTTATTTTTATTTTTGTGTTAAGTAAAGTAGGCTTGGAAGGAGTGCAAATATTGGTAAACCCTTTATTTTCCTTAGATTCGTACATTAGTTTCGCAACACCAACCCTAAAACTTAGTGACTCTTAAGTGTTTACGTAAAACTTATAGATTTTAAAATAGTTTTTAAATATTAATGGCAAGATAGTTTAAGTAAGAACTATTAGATACGTTAAGGTAATCTTTCTCTTGATTTCTGTATATTTTAAATCTGACTGACCCTTTTAGTGAGATTCTGTAATATTGTAATTGCCTGGAATGTTGAATGTGTAGGTAGTCCTATGTTTCCAGGCCGTTATAACTAGTTTAATATGAAAATCAATATTATGAGGTAGGCCTTATTACTGCGAAATGAGCATGGGTAATGCATCCATGTTGAGTAGTTTCTATTCATTGCAATGCTTATTGACATTGTATTTAAATCATTGTATAAAATGATTTTCAGAGAGCAATCATACCCAGTACAATTTTTATGTTTCAAGGGAGGTAATAAGGTGAGTTACATTTAACCATTTCATTTTCCACAGTATATCATGCCACACGTATTAATACAGAATCACCACCACTGCTCTATACAGGATATGCATCGTATTCAAATCAGATTTTGATCCATTTTATTTTTTAAAAAAATAGTGACAATGGGACCCTAGTTTGAGGTAAAGGTAATACTTGATTAATGTAAACCGAATTAAAGGTAGGTAACTCCAACGACCGATGTCTTATTATTTTTGTTGTGTTCTGTAGTCGCCACTAAAGGTGAAATACGAGTTTCACGAGCGTTATATACTGTTACTCTAAAACATATATTGAAAACAATAACTGTGCTGAGGCTGTTGAGATAGTGCTGTAATGTTCATTCAAGCCAGGTCCAATCAGATGTTCAGCCGGACAGTTCTCTAAACCATAACCGGGATATTAACAAGGATATTTATTGTTGATAATTGGTCTAATCAGGGGGCACAATCTGAATCTTACCATCTTGATTTTTTGGAATCGTTCGGAATTGCTTCTTAGCTGCGTGAAAGTCAATATCAGTACTACTAAAAAGTCACGACTGCTTCTATCAATCATGGTACAGCTCTGGTACTGAAAAGTTGTTATCTTGATCAAACTGACTGTCATATTCAGCTGATTGATCATCCCTATGAGACATTTCTGTCCCTCTTTCTTATCCCTGAAACAATTTCGCCGACAACTTGTAAAGTCGAGCTGCTTAAAATCTAGTCCGAAGCATTCCGAGATGCAGATACATCCCATAAAACAGGGCCTAGTTTTTGCGTCTCTACATAAGCCGACAACTTTCAGAATAGCTATCAGAGGTTGAAATAGAGGCAGATATTCCAGTCTACTTAGTACAAAACTTTGGTGATACATGTCGATTATTGTACTATAAGGTTGGAATTTGTCTGTAAGCATTGTGTTTCTAAATCTTCATACCGTCAAGCTATTACGAAATTGGTACTTATACTTTGACTGCAATGGTCACTATTCTTGTATCACGGAATGCAGCGATTTGATGGGATTGTACGCAAGCGAATACAGTCAATCACCTCGAACTGAAAGGATCTAACTATTTTGGCTTTCTTTCGAGGCCTCTGATAGGCTGTGTTCGCTAGCGTACAATCCAATCACGTCGCTTCGTTTAAACTTCCACGATACAAGAAAGGTAGCTAGCGTCAAGGGAAGATGGTATCTCTAATTAAAACGGGCCATCGGGTTTTTTTCAGATTGCATATGGGACGTTACTTGATCAAAATGAAAACTACAAACAGTTTTATAATTTTATTATGATTTCATATAACAAATAATACATAATGATAAACTAAACCTACAATTTTACACAAAATATAACTACATTTTAATAGTAGAAGAATTGAAGTACTAGTGAGAAGTAGTCATGATGAACTGATTCTCTTTGATATCAGTATTACTATTAATCTCAGTTCATTATACTATTTATCGAATCTTCAGGCGATGTGAACAATATACCAGGGCAAAATATTGAAATTCCGTCATAAAGAATCTAAAAACCTCTTTTGCATTTACCTTTTATAAGAAATATTTTTTACTAAGTGTAACTACCATCAGTATAGCGTGAAACTAAAATCAGAATTTCGAATTCGAAGTCAATAAAAGTGACGATTATGTGCTATCTCATATATGATACATTCGTATGATAGGGTTAATAACTCATTTAAAATAGATTCTAGTTTTCGTGGACAGTTGTAGCATCCATTCTGTTTTCCCATCATCTGTGGTTCCTGAATTTCCAGAAAAATGAACTAGATTATGAAGCCACTAACACAGATTCCATCACGGTTTTGCAATATTCATAATCAGGTAGAGTGTTCTGGATTTTCAAAAACAACCGATGAATCAAACAAATTAGAACATTAGATACTAACGTTGGATTCGCCTACAATAAAAGAAAGTCGGGCATTTGAAAACCTTCATCACAACCAAGTGATTTTCAGTCAAAATCAACCTATCGTCAGGATTATTATTTTTTAATTTTGAAAAGGGTAAATAGAGATCTGTTACTGCATGCGGGTAATCTATATGTGAATACAATATTCTCTCAAGATATCATTCAGTCATTGTTAATAAAACACAGAGGAATTTAATATTAGTATGTGGGCTAGTACCATACACAACCCCAAGAAAAATATCTCACCCCGACCCGTGCTTCCGAAAGCCGGCTTGTTGTTGACCAACACACCTTAACGTATATGTACATGATATATACACATAACTTTAATATAACTATACTTCTCTAATATTATAATTATTCATTGTTATTATGCTTATATTCATGAGCATTAAAACAATTATGATATTTAATATAATATTTCATATAAAAATAAAGGCAGTTAAAACTATCTCACTGTGTGTACACAGTGTACATATCTTTATGAGATTCAAAAGAGGCTTTCTAACCTTTGCATGTGCATGTGTATCGTGGACAGTTATTTCTTCATACGCACCAATCCGATTTCCCGTATCAAGTGAATGTTTCCCACAGTTTCTAAAACACTTGATCAAATGATGTCGATAATACCTTATTGTTTGAGCAAGGCAAAATGTTATTATTATTTCTTATGAGAATTGGAATATCAGCCTCACAATAAAAGTCTTTGCGTTGATAAAAATATATTTTTTGGTAAGTTTACATTGAAAAGAACCTCATTTGTCTCCGAGAAATTTCAACCAAAACAGTCAGTTTTCTTGTGAAAAAAACAAATAACTTTGAAGACAGAGTGCTTATGTTTATATTTCTGCATCATCGGAAAAGACATTCTATGACAAACAACTGAGGTTGCTATTCTAATTCTCATAAAAATAATGAAAATAATTCAAAAAACTGTTTACTTGATAATAGGCAATAGTCAAATGGTACTTGGGCATGAAATAGAAAACCTCTTTTGAATCCCTTTCACGAAAAGTGTCAAACACAATGCTATGAGAACAATCCTACGATAAAATATTATGAATTACAGATTTCTTGAGTAGACAGCATCATCCTAATTTTCTTCTGAGGTTGACAGGCACGAAAAGTTGTTATAAGTCACAATAATTATAGTCAACCAATCAAATGGTCGGTTCAATGAAATCTTTGAGGAATTAGTTCAACATTTTTATTAGAGGCCACTTCAAATACTTAAGATAAACCACGGCAATGTCAGACTAAAATTCGACTGAACACGATTAACAGACGACTAATGACAGATCATGGATGGCTTCTAGTAATCCACAGAAAAAATTTCATTAGGTCTGATTAGATATTCATACATGTATGGACAGTTCCGCTTCGTAAAAAGGGTTACAATCCAGTAAATTATCTAAGAGTCAGCAGTTCATTCCACATTTTCTTGCAATATCCATTTTATTTTCCAATTTTCACGCTTGGAAATGATAGAGTAATTTTTGCGTTCACATTTTTGTCTTGTATAATATATTGAGTATAAACGCTACACATTGTTATGTAAAACTGACACATGATCCCATTACTGCCCACAATCCAGATCACTTCATTTGTAACTGTTAAAGTGGCTGTATGGGTTAATTTCGAATTACCAAAAGCTGTTTAATACTCTTTTCTCCCACTGAACAAGAGTCTATGAGTTTTTGTTAATACGGCGATTCACTTATAAACGTTTTAGTGAAAAAAAAATCTTTTTGTTTTATTATCATTTTTAACACTTCTTACATGCTGTGGAATAAACGTTTCCAAACATAGCCTGTAAATCGACGCATACAACCACTTTAACCACCATTGAATGTTTTGTTGCAAATGATCTCAAGTCAACACATTTACATATCACCTCTAATAACCTGGCTACTATAGACATGTTCTTCTCGTGGTATGTTAACGTACATGGTATGAGGTCTTCTACGGCGACTTACGATGTAATCGCGTCTAATCAACACGGGCTTGGCATAAATGTCTTCTATCGGACGTTGAACCACCGATGGAACTCCACTATAAGTCGGTCGAAACTTAAGGGTGCTGGATTTAGTTCCGTAAGCGTATCCAGGGTGTCCCGAAACGACGGTGCTGCTCATACTATTAACCCGACTTCTAGTTGCTGGTAAGGTTGCTGCCGGATAAGCTACAGTGCTAACATTAGCTTCTTTCTGTGCTGCGTATACAATACCATCTTCAGCTTTGAAACCGTTACTGTGTCGGGCAACGCTGTATTCTACATCCGGTTTGGCAGAATGAGGAGCACGTCTCATTTCCACGTCTCCTTTACTAACTGAATGAACCCTGTATCGCCCTTTGTCTGCGTCCGGCTCCAATTCTCCCGAATTTCTATATGATTTAGCAATCAAATGCTCAGGCCCGTCATGATGGACTGTGGTGGTTGTTTTGAAAGTTTGACTTCCATAGTTCCTATGGTCCGGTACGTCAACTTTTGCCACTACTGATGAGTTGCTACTGCTTCTTCTGTCCACAACGATCGGTTCTTTATATTTATTGTAGTTAACGGCATAGGTTTCATTGTTGTTGGTAACTGCAGGTGCTATTCCAGCACGCATATAATGTTCCCGAGTAGTCATTCCTGTCGACCTTTCCAATAGGTACTTGACTTCCTTCAGTTCAGATGAGAGGGCTTCCATTTCACCTTTCATTGTGGATATATCCGATATCTGGGACATTGAATCGTCATCACGAACAACAGCTTTAGGAACAGAATTATGGATCACTTGACCACTGGTTGTATAGCCTTCAGTATACACCTCAGTTTTAACACCATTCATAGGGGCGTAAGGGGTCTGTTCGTAGATGTTGGTTTTCCTCTCATCGCTATTTCTCTTTTCAGATTTCTTATAAAAGATTCCACCAGTCAGTTGAGGTTTAACATCTTGAGTAGGTTCAGAGTTGAACAGCTGCTGAAGTTCACGTCTTGCATTAGCATTGGATCTTTCTCGAAGAGTCCAATTACCATCATCCTTTTTACGGAATTCGACGTTTTCTTGTCCAGCAGTCTTTTTCCATGCTCTAAAATTCTGAACAAAGGTACCAGCGATGAGCTCGGAAGCACAACGGAAAGCAATGATGGTGTATTTATGATCCGGATCTCGGATGACGCACATTAGGCACATAGGATGTTGTTGGTTGATGGTCATAAAGAAAATATCATAAAGGGGGATGTAATCGAACAATGTTTTCATTAAGAACATGTTACTCTTAGTGATCCTTAAACCTTCCGGTGTCAACTTGAGTTTCACTTTACGCCCTTTCTCCAACGTTGTAAGGGTGGCAATTTGTTTGATAATATTGTCCGATACCGCATCATCCTTCCATGTACCTATAAAATAAGCTTTCTTTTCAAATACCGCTGCTGACATCTTGAATTCTTGTTATATTACCAGAACGTATTGGTTTAGTTCATCTTACGGATAGTTCTGAAATGATAAAATAGTGTTCTGTTTAAAAGCATGTTTAGGTTAAGGTCATTCCGTCCCATCGTGGTTCGTTCTATATTTGAATATTTTCAAGAACTTTCATTTGAAATATCGGGCGGTTTTGTTGTGAATTCGCTGGGCAACATACTAACTTTAATATCCGTTCAGCTTATTCCGGCCCATTGTGTCTCTTTCCAAAACCATTTTGATCATTTAAATAAGTTTGAATTTTGGAATATTGGGCGGAGGTGTTGCAAAATAGGTGGGTGATTCATACATGTTAGAGAGGCAGTTTTAATGTTTACCTCCTACGTAGTGTGTATATAATATATGTAGATATAGATATCAATCTTTAGGCCACGCCATTTTAACTCTATTCTTTAAAATTTCAAGAATTTAATATGGGATTGCATTGTCAGTCGCCTGTCATTTTATATCGATAAAAAAGACATATTTTGTCATTTAATACTATTTCATTTGAAAAACAACAATCCTTACAAAGGTTAGATTATCCGCAAAGAGGGGAGGGGGGGTGGGAGGGGGGGTCATTTTTAAGAGGTCCGGATTTCCTGTTTAGATGGGATAGCCTCATATGGAATATGATAATGATTTATTCAACAATGGGAACAATAGGATAACATTGATAGCAAAAACAAGCACAAACCTTTTCAATTATATGATGGGAATTCAATATAATTAAATTTAGGTTACAATTTCGCTACCTAACTAGCTTTATACCAAGGTCGCGTACTGGCTACTTATAGCAGCCAATCACGCACCAGTCTCCCACCAATCAGAATTGCTCTACTTTGGGTTTAGCTATCCAGCAACTCATAGTCGATATTAAGACTTTAATTCTGCACGACGTGATGTGTTTGGTTGATATGAACGCGACTTTGGTATAAATCTTTTCAGATTACAATGGAGACCGAAAAAATATAACAACAAAAATGTAATCTAATTTTAATCAGATTGGATGGGAATTGCTACTAACAGCAAAATGCATCTGAGATTTATCATTTTGCAAACACGAAGCAAAATATTAGGCTTAACAATCCCTTTAATGTGAAAGAGGTGGGGTTCACAAATACAAAAAAAAACATTATACAAGATAACCCCTTTTAACTTGAAAAAACCATTTTCTGTTATACTGAATAGGTTTTATTGATCAAAGATAATAGAAATATAGTATTATGAAAGTAAAACATAATGTAAATAAAAAAGACCAACATTATCTTTTATATTTGACCAGTGGTCAGTACATTATCGACATAATACATGAAAACATAAAGGGAAATAACCCATTATAAATCATTTTATGGAACTGATAAGAACGAAAAGCGAAATGGTGTTTTAATCCTACTTTTTGCATTTTATTGGTTTAATGAAGACAGGCAACGCCATGTAGTATGCAGGGAGGTAAATGTTGCCAAGATAGTGGCATTAACCCACCCATTACTAATGTAATAACCCAAATTACTAATGTATTGCCAACGTGTTATTTTGGATTTCCAGTTTTCGTTTGGCGGTTAGGATAGTTTGTACCTGTAGTTTTTTTTAACCTTTTCGATTTCAAACTTTTAGAACATAAGGAGGCATTAATTTTACTTGAATTGGTATATCAGTTACTGAAAATCTTAGAATGGCTTTGCTTTGATACAGATGTAAACATGGGCGAAAACATTAAATTTATCGGAGGTAAAGATGGTTCTTTTCAATGTTAACATACAGAATTGTTTTTTTTAATCATAGAGTCATTCTAAGACAATCAATAATTAGCACAATTCGATATACCAACGAAAGGACGAAGACAGTAATTTTGGGCCGTACGGAAATATAGTGTCCTTCTAAATAGCAGATTATGTTGTGAAGAGAGTTTTTCAGAATGGTTTTTGTTGTATGGTGTTAATGTCTCTAGGTATTGTCAATGAAAAGGATTTATGTTCAATAATATGTATTAACTTTTCGATCTATTAGTTCTATAGATCAATGCATTCAGGAAGTAGTACTATTAGGTTATTGGCTTTGTGATTATCGATACAATTGAAACTCTTTTTTTATAGTGATCGTGCATATGACAAATGCATAGTATGCGCTCTAATGAAATATCTGTACATTATGATATCCACGAGTATAAATACATTGTAGATCGAACAATTAATGTCGCCTTAGCTAGCCCAGGGTCTCAGGGAGGGGCAAAATTTTTTTGAAAGGGGGCTCAACTATAGCGACTCAACAAGTCATTTAAATCATCTAACTTTTTCAGGGGGGTGGCAAAATTTTCTTCAGGTAGGGGGCATGCAAACCCCCCCCCCCTATTAATGATCATCGAAAAAAGACTGTCTGTGAACATGAAACATTAAGATGAAAGGCCTTGTCCGAAGTAGTTAAATGGATACAGAGTTTGTTCAAATAATAAATTACTGTTTCAAACTCTGGGCTGTGGACATCATGTGGCATCTGAGAGAAGCTAATCAATTGCAGGATTTGGTCGACCTTAACGTGCCTACGATTGAAAAACTGCAATTGCTTATGTTCTACTTTCAGCAACGATTCCGCCGATCACGATATTAGCGTTAGCATAACGACCGCGGGGGATGCATCGAAGAGAGGAGATAAATCGAGAATAGAGGTTATAAGACTCACAAGAGAATCAGCCAACATTCGAGTCAATTCTTTTCTGAAGAAATCACTAAGAGCATGTGTACTAACACAAATGAACTTTCAAACAGGCTTTCAAGCAAATATAACCAGCGCTTTATGTGGTAACTTAATTACATTTTCAAAAGTATTATATAAAAAGTTACATCGTCAGATGTTCGTCCGAATGTTGTGATTTTTCAAAAAATCTCAATACAGTTCATAAGATGATATTGAGGTGTAAGTCAATAACGACATACAGTTTAGATTTTAAGGCTCCCGAAGAATAAATATTGTTGTTTGTTCAGAAGAAATAGATACAGCTAATATTGGTCCAGTGCATTCTATAAACCGTTATAATTGTAGTATTAAATATTTTCGTTCGTGAATTACACTAAGAAACTTCCTTCTAATAAAAGCTGAGGTTTTATCGAAATTACTATTTCAAAATAACATTATGTGGAACACCAAAGAGTCATACGAGTTGTCTAATCCAGTTACCTGTCCCAAACATTTGCCTATATTAAAAGCTTCCGATAGCTATTTTGACAGTTAATATAACTTTCAAAATAGCCACCAAAGGCTGGAATAAAGACAGATATTTCTGACTATAGCCCAAGATGATTCGAAAGATGGAGCAGTTAATTGCATAAGTCTGAAATTCCGATTATTTTTGGATTCTGGACCATTACATAGAGGAGTTAAAGTTGACAAGACAGATTCTTAGTATTCAAATCGGTCAAAATGATATTAAATATCGTTTTCAGTTCTAAAGTTATACTTAAACCTGTGTCCATAGATAACAAAAATCCTCATCAGCAAAATTAACTACATTGAATTTATGTTCGAGATAAATTGATCAGGTCAGAGCTTTAAGATCATCCAATACATAGTATATAACACGGAGATAAATATTGTCAATAATTGACAAATAAACCGGATATAAGATGATTTGTCTAATGAATTTCATTATGTCCTTATAACATAATTATGTCCGTTCGGGTTCCGTGCTTGATAGGTCTTTTGTTCTGTGCATTATGTTAATAGTCAAAGGATATTGCTTATAGCCTTGGTATGAACTATTGAGGTTCGATTCTATTATTATAAGAACCAAAACGATAAAATTTCTGAAAATAAGAGCAAAAGTAAACTTCAATGATCTTGATATTTGTGTCCAAAATTTGGGAACCGTGACAGGAAACAAAGCTCAAAACTGATTTAAACGAGTGGCAAATTCAATTCCATGAACCTCCATCGATCGGTATCCATTTTAATAAAAATCATATTAGAACAACTTAAACAAGTGGCGAGGCCCGGGTTACAGGGTTCAGAAAAGAGGCAGACTGATTCAATGTACTCCGATGACACCGGTACTGCACAAAACAGTTTTAAGATATTGTTGCGACGAGATAAACGCTTGCGTGAGTTCCACCTCCTTGTGATGGTAATTGTCAATAGCTTTATTTTGTCTAAAACACGTGTTCAATTACACATACCATACCATGAATCTGAAATTATTATGAATGAAAATAGTATACTCGACCACAGATATATTTGCTCACCGGGTCCGATTCAAACCATAAACAGCCCACTTTATATGAAGGTGGAATAAATATTTATAGATACTAAATAGATTTAACTTTCATTGTGTTGATTACTACCTAAACTACCTGAATATAAAATAGACTGCTCGTGTTTCAGATTTGAATCGAACCCGGACCTGGACTATTTAAGGAAACAACACATTATAAGGGCACTGTACATATACTTTCAATTAATATAATACCTAATTTGGAACCACATAATACGGCCATAAAACCATACACAATTAAAGAGTAAATGCAATTTAGCACTGAAATGAAATATGGCATTCTAATAACAATTCACTGGCCTTGTACATTCAACAAAATTTGTATAAAAGCAACACAATTCACTTTTTAATACTTATAAACCAATACAACACAATTATGCCATGTTCATAAATAAAAGGCAAGATATCTTATCCATTCTTTTAAGATTCTACATTAAAAGTTATCCAAAAATACTTCACTAGACATATAGTTTGGAGCAACAACATTTAGAAATAAACAACTAAAAAAACAAAAAAATGGAAACCTGTTAAGTGATATTAAAAGGTACATTTCAATGTAATGGAAAAAATTGACGTACCATAGAGTCTATAGCATTCAACAACATTAAGATATAAACAACACAATAACAAATTCACTTTTCAAATGTTATCCAACTAATAAATAAATTTAATACATTTAAACACAATTCACTGTTTAGTGAACGTAATCTTA